GAGTCCGTCCGCTTGGCAGTATCGTTTCCGCGCGATTTATTTATGATTCCAGGGCCGGCTGTCGCCGCCGCGCGTTTGCAATGTTGCTCTCAACACGTGCAGATTTACGGAACTCGCAAAAACTATGTCGACATTAACGCCGGATNAACTCGCAAAAACTATGTCGACATTAACGCCGGATTACTCTCTCTCTCTCTCTCTCTCTCTCTCTCTCTCTCTCTCTCTCTCTCTCTCTCTCTCCCTCCCTCCCTCTCTTTGAGCACGCCATTTTCAAAGTGTTTTCGACTCATTTCCAGAGTGGCGATATTTCGTAGTAAGTTCCGGCCGTTACATTCGAATCATCGAAATTTCACCGGGCGATTATTACCGGCGTACGCGAACCGGCACCGAACATTTATCGCGGATCGCTCGCGTTCCGCGCGGCCGTTACCACCTTCTCGTTGCAGTGCTTTTTCCTCTGCCGCGCCGGCTCGAACCGCCGCGTTTATCAAACTTTTTCTAAACACTTCATAAACGTTTACGGTTTGCCGCGCAGCCGCCGACATGCGCTCGCATATCGCTCGCATACATTGAAAACGCTCGCGCGTCCACCGGGCCCGCGGTGAAACGTCTTATAACACGGGAAACCGCATAATTCCGGAGCGGTCGAGATGTTTCCCGACACGCTCCGCTCGACCAGAACTGAAACGAGCATCCACTATTTACGGTTATACTCTTTCGATGCCATTATGGCCGCCGACACGACCCGGCCCGATCATCTTTGTCCTGCTCTCGTACGTTCGATGTTGGTTCGACGCAACTGCATCTAAAAATCCGCAACAATGAAACCTATCGAAGGTTTACTAACCCCTTCGACGGAGTCTTGACACGCGATGGGATTTCTAGTAATAACCATAACCATAGTTATGTCTGAAAGTTGTTCCGTTCTTTTACGTTGGATTTGCACTACGATTTCTTCCGCAACTACGTTAATTAGCATTTCTTCGTACTTAATAATTTCCGTAATAGAACGAGACAATTATCGTGTGCAATTATTTACTTTCATTTCTATATGATGTTAACAAAGGAATCGAATTTTCTTTCGATTCAAAAGAAACGAGTAGAATTCATATTCAGTGGACCGCCTATGAAATCTCGATTACGAATCTGCCTCGTTGTTGTAGCGCATTCGAGCAAATGTATGTTTCCTTCCTCTTTCAAGGAATTATTACAATCGAAATGAAGAAAAATGGAAACACGAAGTACAGTAATGTCTCCCTAATCGACGCTCACATTCTGCACAAAAATGGTCAATTTGGAAAGAGGAGATTTATAGTTGTTGACAATCGGTAACCATAAAAAACGAGCCACAAGGCTCGAAAAATCGTATCTCCTCTGCCAAAATTGTCTATTTTTGCGCAGAATCTGAGCGTAAATTAGGGAGACATTGCTGTATACAGTAATTTCTCCCTAGTTCGCGCACAAATCGCGCACAAAAATTATTATTCGAGCCTTGCGGCTCGTTTTTATAGTTGTCGACAATCGATAACCATAAAAAACGAGCCACAAGACTCGAAAAATCGTATCTCCTCTTCCAAAATTGTCCATTTTAGTGGACAATCTGAGCGTCAATTAGAGAGACATTACCGTATCTTCTAGTTACGAAGATAATGATACAACGGGGGGTTAACGATACAGATACATTAATCCAAACTCGTCGAAATCGTCAAAGGTCAAAATACATGCGTATTCTCGACCGGTGTTTGTCTCCGCACAAAAATCTAATTCTAATAATTCCAGCAACGTTCACCCTCGTTTCTCGACAATGGCAAGGTCGATCCTACGCGATGATCGTTCCAAAACGAGCCTAGGCCTTAACAAGCCCCCAATTGGAGCATCCTAGTCACGTCCGAGCCCAGGTCCCTGATCGCAGCTGCCCTAAAACTCGGCAAAGCAAAGTCTCCGGAGAAAACAATAATTAACCCCGATTCCGTGGGACTGTCTGCCTGACAATAACTATACCTCCAGGTGTAACAGTACCGAGGGATCCGCAGAAACGAAGGAACTATCCGGGCCCGATCCCTGGGCTACCTGGATCGCATAATTCCAGCTACCTCTCACCGCCATATACTAATTATTACTCCGATAAATACGGGTCGGACGTATTAAATCCGGGCAGCCTCTGGTCACATTGCCGGCGCACATGCACACGTTCTCTCACATCGTTGCTTTCGAGCTTTCCATCCCACACATTCACACGAACGCGCACGCGCTAGCATGATATCAGGAGGAACGTACCTAGAGGTAGAAAACGCGAAGGTTTCTCGGTGCACGTGGTGTTTCCCGGTCCGCGACCACTGTTCTCGCGCGCACTCGGACCCGTGTCGATCGTCGGGATGGATCGCGTGGATCGCGATCGGCGTGTAGAAAATGGAAAATAGTCGAAACGAACGCGACCGTGGGTGTATCCTCGGCGAGAGATATCGCCTGGACGGCGTCGTCTCCGACCTGCGCACAGCTCTCGCAGCCCGCGGCCAACATGGCGACCAGAGGAGGAAGAAGGCGACGGAGAGAGAGCCGGGAATACCATGGGAGTCCCATGGTGTGCCGGGGCCGAAGCACGCGGTTGCCTTCGTTGCCAGCGAGAAAACCGGTCGATGGAAGAGCGCAGCGCGGCGTGGCGCGTCGATCGTGCGCGTTTCAAAGGGCCGCCGACCAATCCGATCCAACCGGAGATCAACATGGCCGTCGTGCCGCCGCGGTTCGCTTTCCGACGACCAGGATTTTTCGGTGCGGCCCGCGTCGTCTCCCTTGCGTTCGCCGCGGGGCCCGCCGAGCGTTTTCCGCGCGGCGCCGCGCGATGACACCGCGGATTGGACGCCGACAGTGGTACGTAAGCCAGAACGCAACCGGGCCCCGGCCCTTTCACGATCGAAAAACGCTCGAAAACGCCCGGTGACCGCATCCCTGCACGGAGCCATCTTAGGACACTCACCCACACGTGTGCTCCCCGTTGCGACGCTTCCGTACGTATAGGCGCTGCTTCTGAACCGTTGGTCAAAGCTCTGCCGGCTCGACGACGAACAGCCCCTTTCGAGGGACCCCCAAGAGTGTGTTTTCTCGAAGATTCCGACTCTAGACAACTTGCCGATGGATGCTCGCTACTTGCCGTCGTGGCTCTGTTTACACAGGCTCGAGGCTCTTCGTGCGCATGATCCGCCTCGGAGCCACGCTCTTCAGAGATTATTTCCCTTGGTTGACTCTAGCCTCCTTTTTATATTTTTTTTTTTATTCAACAGCTTGATAGGACATTCTCGATGGATCGTTTCGGTTCGTTGTTCTTGTGATGTTGTTGTTGGTGGGGGGGTGTGCTGTGTTCCGAGTGCGTTGATTTTTCCATGGTGGTTTTTGTCTGTCTCGTCGAATGTTCATATTTCCTTGCTTTTCTTCGGAAAATCTCGTTTACACGAAGAGATACTTTGCGTTGGTAATTCCAGGCGCTTCGATATCTTTTGTGCAATCACCCCGGTTCGTTACTGTTCGCGCGTTTTTTAACGGTGAACGCGGCAAGGGCTCGTCGAATGTTTTTGTTGCCGTTTTAAACTGTAAATGATGGGCCTGTGATCAATTATTCCATGTACGGATACTTCTCTTGGCAATTACCGGACACATCTGCCTGCTCAGTTGTGCGTATTTCGTACGAAATTTCGCGCGATGTCTTGCTAAATGCGGTGTAATTGTTTTTAAAAGGCAGCGCGAACTGGTCGCGTACTTAATATCCGTTGTTAAAAGACGCTTTGATATTTTTCTGCGCGAAGAACACGACGGAACGGGAAGACATTCCGACGTTGTATCCTTGAAGCGCGAACGATGCGAGAAAGTAATTGCTTCATCGTTTCTAAACTGCGCCGCCGAAATTTTCGCCGCGATCTTCGCCGGTAGATCGGGGAGCGCGGCGCGATGAATAAAAAACGGAGGACCCGTAATCGCCAGTCATCTTCGGCCGCGCCGAAAAACATTAAATTTCGTCGGCACGACAATGTGTCCGTAATTATTCAGCCACTTTATTAAGCCGGGACACACGATAAGCTTGCGAAGGCTTGAAAAGAACGGCCGATTCCACTTTGTTCGTTCGTATCGGAGCAGATAATGCTTCGAATATCCAACGCGTCGCCGGTAATCGTCGGGCCATCTTTTTGCGGTCGTTATACCTACTTCAGAGAAATTACAAAGTACCTATCCCGTTGAACCCGTGCAGAGAGTTACGGTAGAGAAGAGGGTGCAAGGATCAGGTGAAATGTAAATTTAATGCCAGACACTTGACTTCATTTGCGGCTTAAGCAGCGCGTCGCCGACTTCGTTTTTTCGAAACGGCGTGCCGCGAAGTCCGTGTGCGTGGCAGCTTTGACCAACCAGTTGAGCACATCCTGCGCACGTGCACCTTGCGCCCGGGTGCCTACTTATTATGACACCCCGGTCAGTTTACGTTTTCCTGTGTTCATTAGCAGAAAACGTCGCGTCGTTGCTCTTCCGTTTAACCTGGGGGTGATGACGGCTTGTTTCGGTATCGGTGCGCGCCGGCCGCGCAAAACGCCGTCGTATTTCGTTCGCGTTCCGTCGTACACGGCTCTTCAACGGCCGCGAGCTGTTCTATTATTCCTCCGTCCCGTAAATCGCCGTCTCGCGACTTGCCCGCGTAAATTATTATTTAAATCGCAAATGGCCGTTGCCGTGCTTCCTGAATCCCCGAAACGTAATTACGGCCGCCGTTTTATTTGGATATTCAGATTTCACGCGTTAAACGCGCATCCATTAACGGGCTGTGCGCGTCCGTTCGACGGGCGAGCGTTCGATAAACGTGGGGGCCGGCGGGGCAGGGAAACTGACAAAAAATTCCCTCGTCAATGCCGCCAATTAACGGTCGAGCATCGTGTCGTCGCCATTCGGGCCCGGGGCTCCTCTCATTAAAAAAAGCCGAGCAAATTAAAATGCGCGGACCGATTCGATCTCGTTTTCGCCGTTAAAGGCAAATGCGAACGATAATTGCGACACTACGGTTAATGATCGCGACCAAGGAATCTCTCGAAAAATGGTCGCCCGATAATTTATCTCCGGCGGAAACCGGTGTTGCACCCGAGTAAGATTCCGATGCGCTTACTATCTCCGTCTCTCTCTTTCTCTCTTTCTCTTCTCTCTCTCTCTCTCTTTCTCTCTCTTCTCGGTCTCTCTCGTTCGTCGCTTCTCTCCGCGTCTCATCCCCTTTCTCCGGCCGCTCGTAATCATTAGACGAGTCGCGTGACTCGGAACGATGCACTTAAGGCAAAAAGCTAATCATAATCGAACCGTTTGTCCGTTCGCGTTATTCGCCGATGACATTTTTACCGGGGCTCGTATAATTCCCCGGGCACCCATTAAGCAAGCCTGTATTGGATAATCGCGGCGCAGCGTTACGAAACCGCCTTTCGACCAGAGTAATTTCAACATTTCATATCCCAAGGCTGCCGGCACGGTCCTTTTTAAATAACCCGCGGAGAGCACATCGGGTGCAAAGATCCGACCGCGCAATATTTATCAAGGTAATTGCCGGCGTTTACCGACCTTCTCGCCGAGCGTGCCGCGGATTTTATGGGGACGTTCCTTTAATTGGTCAATCGCCATCTTCTCTCTTTCGTGGACCCACCGAACCCTCCCGTACGAAATGCTCCTACCCACGAATCCACCGACAAACTAATAGGAGGAACCCGTACATTAATTGGCGAGTTTCTTAATTCGAATTATCGTCTTTTAATTAAACACGCGAATTGTTCAATCTTGAACATCGTCTAGGTTTTAGTTACATTTTTTCCATGCTGCTCAACATTTTTTTAAGTCTTCTTTTTATGGTACTCATTATAGATCAGAGAACGAAAGAATTATCTCTCAACGTACAATTAATATTTTGTATAATTTAACACATTGTTTTAAATCTCGTCAACGAACCGCGTAGGGATATTAATCAATTTTAAACTTCGTACAAGTTTGAGTCACATACTGCTCAATTTTTGTTCGTCTTTCTTCTTATTTTTATCTTGCTTATAGATCAGCCAACAAAAGAATTACTTCTCAATATATAATCAATACTTTAATTGATCGGTTCGCCACATTGTTTCAAATCTTGTCAACGAACCGCGTAGGAAAATTGATCAATTTTAAACATTGTATAGATTTTCGTCACATTCTGCTCAATTTTTGTCAGTCGTGCTTCTTTTTATCTTGCTTGTAGATCAGCCAACAAAAGAATTACTCCCAACGTATAATTAATACTTTAATTGATTGATACACCACTTCGTTGCGAACTTTGTCAACCAACCTCAGATAAAAGATCGTGCCTCACGAAACGTAACGCTTCGAATCTCTGATAAAAAAGTTAGAAGAATTTCCTGCAATGATCAAGTGCCGTGTATCGCACGGTTTGCAACCGCGGTTTCCATTATTCCGTGCCTCTGCCGCGTCTCCAACATAAAACGGAAACAGCGATTGCAAACATTCGGAACCGCGCAGAAAATTTGTTTCGAAAACGAATTCCCATTTATTACGGAGTTAGGGTAACCTAAAGCGCCGGCTAATGGCCGCCGTCGGACACTGATTAAGTTGCCGCGGTAAGGTCGACGTTTCCGATACTCCCATTCATCGTTCGGATGTATTATTACCATCTCGTTGAGCGAAGATAACGACGGCCGCTTTCATTACGGCCGATCCGGCGGTAGATTGAGAGAGAAGCGAAAAATAAAGGAAAAAAAAAACGAAGACCGGGACAGAGGAGAAGAAGAAGAGGCCGCGCGCGATAATTACGAGGGAATATTCTCATCGGAGGGGTAGGGTGACGAGGCCCGTTTGTAAATTAGCGTGGCCGCGCTGCTAATCTGGCCTCCGCGTGTGTGGGCGAAAAAATGATCGAGAACGCGAGATATTGCGAATTCCGCGGCGATAATGTACGAGCTTATCGGCCGGCGACATGTACGCCGCTCCGATAAATAATTAACTGCCACGTAAAACCTCGTAAAGCAAAGTAATCGCGGTGTACACGATGATCGCGCATTCGCTTTTACGCCTGACCGACTTCGTCGGATTGCTTTGACGCGCGCGAGCATGAGCGCGCGCGGCGGCTGGTTTTAATGCGACTTCCTCGGGGCCCCGGTTTCGCCCGCTTAATTAGCCGTCGCTCGCAAATAAAGCGATCGTCCGGAACGATCGCTGGCCCGGTACACGTTCCCATAATCTTCGCCGCATTAAAATAACTGTCCGTAGTCGAATCAATTAAGAGCCACCGGTAACGATCATTGTCCCGCTAATAAACGGAAGCCCGATGTCCACTTAACGGACTTATCTATATTCCGTATCGCATTTTTCTCGCTCGCGTGCGAAAACCGCTTGCTTCGCGCGCGTGCGTTTCTCCCGGCTACGTGGAAACCTAATACACATCTTCCGGCTACCTGGCAAACCGCTCCTCCCCGCAAGAAATAGTAACGACCGGCTCGAATTACCCTCGTAAGAACCCATCGCCGTACTTCATCGCGTTTTTTCCCCCGAGCGTGGACCGCAGACGCTCGATTATCCCTGCTTGAAGTGGCTTGTCTATTGGCAAAGTGGCACAATGTGGTCGGCCCGAGGCTACCATCCAGCGAAAAGACTATGATAGAATCTTGCCGGTTACGTTCGAAGGGCCGAAGCACTTTCAGGACTAATTGAAAGCAACTGGCCGGGATTTATTACGCTTCCCGCGACTGTAAACAGTCGCTATCCGCGCCTATCTCGTCCTATTAGCATCGGAAATGCCGATTTCCGAGTTCCTTGACCAGTTGGCCAGCTTTTTCTCTGCAAAATTGCTACTTGTTACTTGCCTACGCTTC